GGCAGTACTTTTCCGACAAACCGAAATATTTTTTAGACAAACCAAAAAGTTTTCCGGACTACAACATTTTAAATCTTCACCGCCGCCCCCCCCCCCTCCCCGTTGACAACCTTGACAATTTTCCGACAATTTCCGGCAGCATTGGCAATTTTCCGACGGGTGTCAACAATAGGGGAGGGGCATGCTTCCCTGCCCCCCGTCCTCGGCCACGGCGCCACTGATGACAATCACTAGAATGACGTTTTCCACTGGGCGAATTTGTTCACGCGAAGCGACAAGTAAAAGAGTAGGAACTAATCTTAACTTTTTCGCGGCGAATTTTTTCGCTGACCAATCACATTGCCGAAATTTGGTTTTCGCTTCGCGCGAACAAATTCGCCCAAAAACGGGCCTAAATAATAAATTGATATCTTCTCTTGTTTCGTGATGTAAATCACGTTTTCCAAGCACACGAAATAGGCTTAAGCCCTTAAATCTTCAGTTACAACGCCATAACTTACAAGTAAAATTCCTATAAAATTCCATCCGAGTAAAATTTATGACTCATATGGTTACCACTTACCATCAGGAAGGATTATAAATTTAAAAAAATATGAAATATGTTTCCTGACTATGACTGAATTTTAGTCGAAAGCTACAATATTAAAATGTTTATTTTCGAAGTTACCGGTGTTTTATATTTTATTGAAATACTCAGTGGTTCCCGAAATTTTTACCGGTTACGTATGAAGTCATGGCTATTAGTAAAACACGGAGCACACGGAGCACGGAGCACACGGAGCACACGGAGCACGGAGCACACGAAGTACGGAGCAGTAGAAAAACGAAAATCCTTTATAATAAAATACACTGTTTACTATTACAAATTTTTGTTATTATTAATAAAGATTTTTCGCGAATTTACACGTTGGGGAAGTAGGGAAATGGGACTTTTACTGAAAAACACATATGATGCAAAACTGCCAAAAGTCATAGTATTTAAAATAGGATTGTGAAACTCGTTATCTTACATCTATCAAGCTTATGTAATCATATTATATTCGGATCTCCGTTGGCCAACGCATAAAGAAACACTTACTGTAGAGAACAGCCGATATATTTCGTTACCCCTGCCAAAAAATAGCCAAGTACTCATCTTTCAATGTAGCCGGGATCGACTGAACATTAAAGCTTGTGATGGAGAGAAGTAAATTTTCGGTTTATCCTTCGGCCCAGTGTGCTGTACGTGTTTCCTGACTGCCGGGCACGTAGTATTTTAAAAATACTGCCCGGAAGCCGCATGTAGACCAGTATTTCGATTCCGATGGAATTATAAAGTTTGATAGTTTAGTCTTTAGATACATGTGATGGATATTTTGACTATAGCCTAAACTAGATAGAGTACACACAATATATCTGATGAACTGGACCAAGAAATGTAGAACTACAAAACACGTGTCTATTTGAATAAAATAACCACTAACAGTAACTTACATCATGGTCTATCAAGATATGAATCATATGATGGTCTGGAAACTTAGCAGAAGTGTTTTTTATATGTTTTTGTCTGAGTTTATGTTACATAATCATTGCATTTTGGTATAATTAAGCAACCGTCCAATAGGGATAGCTGAGACAAAGGATTTGCGCATGGTAAGGCACAGTCCAACATCAAACAAAGGTCTTCTATTTTGCAGCTTTGAAGTTTGTCAGGCTTCCAGACCATGATCATATGACATATGCTTACATGTTAAACTTCTTATTCTATAACGTCTTAATTCTAAGTATTCTACAAGAGTCAATCATCTGCAAATCCCACGATGTTACTAGTTGTACGATACAAAACTATAGCTCTACAATTAAGTGTTAATTCCCTTTGTTTTGGTTCTGTAAATTAGTCATTCACTTGCATGATGACGCTTTTCTACATGCAAAGCCACAATGCCACTTGCTACAACATCTGCACTCCACGTCGTGTGCATAACAAGCCCAACTAGCGTATTTACAACATCCTCTGTAATTGCCACAACATCCATAATCGCTTCCATATATGTACCAGCCTCGTCTATTCGTCAGGGCACCCCATCCTCTGCGACATTTCCTCCGTATAACAATACCCCGTTTCTGCAAGATACTGGCACTGCGTTTCGTTTCGTAATCGCCGACGTTGCCGTTGGCTAGCACGAGGAAACTGAGTAGAAGACTCACGATAAAAACCAGTTGCAGAAATTTCATTGTTTATGAAAGCTTGAAAAGATAATTAAATAAAGAAATATTACAGTCAATAATAACCACAATATACTGAAATCAATTTTAACTGAGCACTGTATTCTGTACCTGTTCTGTAACTTTGACGATCCGCGCGTATGCGTTTTTGACTCGCTAAATTGACGTGTCAATTTATAAAGTACTGGCCTGATGTTCTCCCAACAAAAAGTGGAAATCAGGTAAGACACTTGAGCTTCTTCTGTAAGCGACTGTCAAGACTTAATGAAACTTCTGTCGTGTTGTGCAATATGTTATAACACACCAACTTCCTTCAAAAACATAACTTCTTTCAAAAACAAAACTTCTTTAAAAAATAAAACTTCCTTACGCAATAAGAATAAGTGCTTGTTCGTGCGGATCGCTCTGGCTCTGAAGTGGGGGATTATCGTGCGGACCCCACACAGGCCACAGCCACGCACATTCTTTTTTTGGCGGCAATATTCGACATCTTTACTCTGACTTCAGTTAGAGTATTTAGAATAGCTGGGCCATGCAGAATAATGGGAACTAATGATAAGCCAAAAAGAGCCAAACTCAAAAACCATCATGCATCGGACGCGGACTGGAGCCAAGTGGTTTATATTTAACAAAAATATAAAACATTTTCCGTGTTGATATACAGTTATATCAACACGAGTGGAAATTGGGAAAACGAGAAATTGTGTGTTTCGAGTTTTCCCAATTTCCACGAGTGTTGATATGCTGAACAATATTGCTACCAACCAGGAACAATGTGGAAGCAAAATATTGTTCAAGCTTGTTTTCATCGACATTGTTACAGCTAGGCTGAGTGTTTTTTTTTCCGCATCATGTACACTGCAAAAAACGCCTAGCCTGTAACAATGTTGATGAAAACAGGCCTGAACAATATTTTGCTGCCCATATTGTTCCTGGTTGTTAACAATATTGTTCAGCATTGTTCAGGTTGAACAATATTGTTAAGAGGAGATTTTTTTGTATGTCACGTAACACGAGCTCAAAGCTAATGCGTATAATATATCGCTTGAGGTTATGACTAAATTCAAAATTTTTAGTTTTCCATACGTTTCTCAATCGGCAAACAAACTTAAAAAGTATGTTCAGTGCTTTATCTGTAAAATAATGTTAAAATGAGGAGATTTTAGATGATACGCCAAAGAGAAAATGATGTCTGAAGTTCAGGAAGTTTTGCTTATATGGCTGTAAATATATGGCGTCAATTTTAAAGCATCATTGATAATTGTATTTTAATTGACAATTTTTAACTATTATCTTTAACTCGATGTTTTTAACAATAAAAATGTTTTAAAATGCTAAAAACGCTAAGTTTGCTGTTCTTCAATTATGCTTAATTGATTTTCCTAGTTAGTTTTTTCAATAAAATGGGCTGAAATGCGCCTTAAAAACCATCATTCAAAAGCTGAACTGTCCCTTTTTAAAGCACTATTATGGACTTTTTAAAAATAAAAGACCTTTACAGGAGACCTATGTTTGACCGAGACTGTAATTCAGAAATGTCTATTCACGTCTCAGTTCATACTTGCAATGTCTATACACAGGCAATTTAACAAAAAGGAAATCGTTTATCTTCCTTGCGTGTTGCGACAGATCTGGCCCATTGCAACACAACGTAATGTTTACTTTTCTTCTTTTAAATTAACATCTCCTCACAAGCTGTCACTTTTGGGAATTGTTTGGCCCATTTTGATGAAAACCATTATTGACATTCCCATTTGTAGCAAACTTCGGCAGCTCAGTCGAGGACGAGGGGTTGAACGACCTAACACGCCAATAAGGCTCGTCCATATCAACATAACACCCGCGAGGAGGGGGGATATTCCCAGTTATTAACTTCCTTTTCTTTTGTAACCAACACCACAGTAGCATGATCATTGTAAGCAAAGCAAATGTTATAATCGCCGTCGTGGCGACTGCAAATATTAGCCTCAGAGGCAAGCAATTCGATTCGTTACATTTCCCTTCTTGGCAGCACCCACCGGCATCACATTGGCTGTCTCTTTCACACGAGAAACCAACGCAGGATTCAGCACAAACAGCATGTTTCCACAGCCCACAGCATTTCTTGGTACACATTTTTAAACCGTCATCACCGTATATACTACAATTGTTCGCTTCAGAAATATACACCATTTTCAGAACGATTCCAATGTAGCAAAGTAATGGACGCCATATTAAATATTTAGTCATTCCACAAAAAATATATAGCTGTTCTTTTCGAAAAAAATCTCTTTTAAACCACAGTTATCGAACAACGTATTCCGAATACGTCGCAAACAAGTATACTTTTGTATAAGCAAAATTGCCACCTGTGATTGACGTGTTTTTCACTGGCAAGCCAAAGGCGTCAAATTGATGCAATTGAGTATCAGCTGTTTTGAAGAATCTTTAGACCTCTAAAAGACTGTTTCGTTAATGTTCTATGGCAACAATTCTATTCTTCTAGCAATCCCACACCACAGAGCGACTTTGTTGTTTACATTAGACGCTTTAAAATGAAAGATAATTAACAAAAAACTTTCTGGAATTTGTAAGCATTTGTTTAAAAGATATATTATACGATTCAGCATGCATAAGTTAAGCTAATCTCCGGTGCTTTTGATCTAAAATCTTTCAAAGATTTATATCTACGATTAAAACTGCATGGTTTATAAAAAACACAAAATCATGTATATATAATTTATGGTCGGTGCATTTGGAGATAAAAAATTAAAAAACACTTCCTATCCAAAATTTCAATTGTGAATGGCTCATTTGAATTCGCTTCGTCGATCAGCCATCAGCGTGAGGCTATTGTCAAAAACTCGATTGGCTAATCAAAACCTAAATTGCTGAAGTAGTAAGGACAAGAATTGAAGTATTCATGTGAGCTACAATCTTTTTTTATCTGCGAGCTAATGGAATATTTGATTCGACGATTTGATGGAAGTACAATATAACTATTATCTATTTTTTTCCCGGATATCACAAAAACATCATCCGATAACTGTTGTATTACAATAGGTTATATTGACGAACAAAAAACTTTGTATGCACCTGCTAAGCAAAAACATTTAAATCCAAGCTTCCAAATGTACTATATATCATATAAAGACTTATATAGCGTGAAAACATTAACACATTTCATATATGTTGAGACAAACTACGCATATATAATTAGTCGGAAGCAGGTCTCTAGTTAATATCGCATTATTGTCTGAAACCCCTTATAGTCTAGTAGTAAAGCAGCAAAACCGGCAATCGAGAGACACAGTTTCATCATCTGTTCGGAGGAGTTTAGAGACTTTCTGAATACAAAATTAAAGATGAGGTCAAGTCTGTTGTGCGCATGTGCTATGCGAGGACTCTCTGGTGTAAACAATATCCAAATTTCGCGTTGTTTTAGCCTGCGAACAGGGTTCAAAGAGAGCCTGTTCGCAGGCTAGCGTTCTTTCGACATCTTCTAAATTGCAACTCTAATATATATATATATATATATATATATATATATATATATATATATATATATATATATATATATATATATATATATATATATATATATATATATATATATATATATATATATATATATATACGTTTAAAAACATAACAAACCAGAACGATGTTAGATATTAACTAAGTCTTGCTAAGTGCATTATATTTTACGAATATAGTGTCTTCATAATGTAAAGAAACAGCAACTACTATACTCGACATATTAAAAATATATACATCCACAACATATATACCATAGCATACAAAGGACTATGAGACCACGAACACAACCAGAATATTTTATGCATGATTTACAGAGTTTATTTTTATTCTAGGCTTCATTTTTGATCATGCTCCATATATCTGCATTAAAATGCATCTTCTCTTTCTCGTCATTCCCTGCTTCGCCCGACTTCAGCTTCTTTGCTACTTCTTCGGCATCAGTGCGCATTCCCTTGGCCACGTCAGAAACTAGTATGGCTTTCGAGAATATGCCTGGAAACATTTAAATGTTTTGATAAGAGGAATTGAGCGTATTGTACATCACCAAACCATAATTGGCAAATTATTTATTCTTGGTATAATAGATAAAGTTTTTGCATGTTTATATCCAATAATGATTAAAGGGCATATGATTCGAAAATTGACGGTGTTATTTTTTGTCTTATGTGAAAGATCATTGAAAACTGTAGAGTAACTTGTTTGGCAGTTTTGTTGTTTTCTTGCTTAGCATAATCAGTAGAAAACCTACATACATGGGTGTTGTTGTGGACAAATCTCGTGCTCATCATTCACTTTGATATAATTTATTTGATAGTGACAAAATTATACAACATTTTGAAGTAAGTCATTATGTATGTGTGACGTAGAAAGTTGGTCCCTTGCATATCATACAAAATGAAATGTCTTCAAAACGAAGCAAGAAAACAAAAATCTGTTAATGGCATTCAGAGTCTCAGATAAATTTCACAACAAATAGCAGAAGACCTCTCTCTCCTCCGCAGAGCCTCCTTAAGTATTTACAAATAAGTTTCCTCAATAAAAGTGAGGGAGTGATGGAAAGCGCTCACTTTTCCATTATTAATAGCACAAATTGCTAAATTTTAGTGCTGCTAACTTAAACAATACAACACAAAAATAAAACACTGATTTGGGTTCTAAAATATTAAGAATTATATTGATGCATGAACTTTGCCATATCAAAAATACTAAAATACTTCATGTGACGTAGTAAAATATTCACGTAACTTGTACTTCAAGAAGAAATGAGTACTGTACTAACCGAATACTTTTTCAGCAAACCTTGCATCTTGACCGCGTTGAAGCAAGCCTGGTCGGAAAATACTTAGATGGTCGAAATTTAACTTTTTACAATCTTCTTCGATCTGAAAGAATTTTAAGAAGTTTCAAAATTACACATGAATTACGATATATCATTTTAAAATTCAATTTGTCAATACCCCTCGTTCTTCCTGAAACTCGTACATGAACAATATCAACCTGTTTCCTTACATATTTCTTTAGATTTGAGTGTAAAATATTTAAAACAAATATCGCACATGCATTAAACTTTTCAGCATGAGGCTAACTATTAAACATGATAAAATTAAAACCATTTAAATTTTTGAACTTCATCATAAAAATAAAAAAATGTTTATCAAACGAATATCTTGGGTTTCATATGACGTCACAAGTGACGGGGGGGGGGGGGGCAAACTAAAAAAAAA